ACCCCAGCTGGCCGAGCGCCTGCCACGCCAGCCTCTTTGCTCCTCCCAGGGCCTCTGCACCTGCCGCTCCCTCGGCACAGGCGGCCCCAGCCCCTCACACATCTCAGCTCCCACACAGACGCCTTGCTGGGCCTGCATGGGCCATGCTCTCCCGGGCCACCCTCTCTCAGTGGCCTCAGCCCCTGCGGGACCATCTGACAGTAAGATTCAGGTTGGCCACTTTCCCCTAGTCCCTCAGCAGTGACAACTGCCACGTCCTTGCTTCGGGTGTGCTCTGCCTGGTACCCCGCGTCACCTGTGATGAGCCCTGGGTGGCTCTGTTCGCTCACATCGCCTGCCAGGTCCCAGTGCTCAGCCCGCCTCCTCCCTCCCCTCCCCAGGCAAGGAAGCCCGTCAGGGTGGAGAGCACATCTCTGCCGTCTTCACCAGGCTGCCATCCCCTCCCTTCCTCCTGGTAACAGGGCCCCGGTATTCCTCTCAGAAACCAGTTCCCCCAGTTTCAGACAGTGGAGTTACAGCAGGACTGACACCCTCAGCCCCTGCCCACTGGCTTCAGATCTGGGCTTCTGGTTTGTGACCCAACTGAGATCTGGGAGAGCAGTGCTGGGACTTTCCCTGTAATCGTTTTGGAGGGGTCACCCCTCTCCTTTTGGGGGTGGCTTAACTACTATGAAGAAAGCCTGGAGTTGCTGGGACCATCTCACCACGGGGTTGGGGTGGGAAGGAACCTGATATTAAAACCAGCATGGAAAAATACAAAGTCCAGAGCTAGGGAAAGCCACACAGGCATCGCCTGCAATCTAAATCCATTTGATCCCTAAATTGTGTAACCTGAGTGCAGATAGCTATGGACATATTATCTCAAACTATTTGGTTCCTGAGCTTTAGATAGCAAGTGGCAAGAGTTCAGAAAGAGAGGGATTTATCTGAAAAGCTTATTCTAATCAATCCAGATCCTGAGTGCAGAGAGAACTTGGGTAAAGTTTCAATAGCAAGGGATACCTGTATTATTGAGACTATTACACTAGCACCTGGATCCAGCTATACCTGAAGGTAGTAGCTCTCAAACCTTCTAGTTACATGTGTTGATAAATCCCCTTTTCTGACTAAAGGCAGTTTAATCAGGGCTCTGGCAGCTAAAACGCTGAGTGCCTGTGTGTGTGCACGCACACACACACACAGACTCCCAACTTCCACCCCTATTCTCCCAAAACAGTGTGCTTCTGAAGGAAGCCTACCTCCTCCCAAGGTTCTCCTGCTACTGTGCTCTCCTGCCTCTTCCTCTTCCTCTTCAGAGCTGGCTCCTCAGTGTCTGCTTGCTCTGCCTTTTTCTTGGACTTCATTTTCTTCTTCACAGGGGCCTTGGGGCCATCTCCTATTGGGATGTAATCTGGAGCTTCAACTTTGACTGACTTCTTTTTACTTCCTTTCCTACGGCTGCTCTCCACAGACCTGGAGAGCTCAGGGTGCCCCAGGGGGGTATCTCCCTCCTGGTGGGTTTTCTTTTTCTTCTTCATCTTCACGTTGTGCTCCCTGGGGCTCCCCTGCTTCCGTTTCTGTCCCGAGGCTGCCTGCTCAGGGACGCCATCTTTCCCAGCTGAGCAAGTGTACAAAGCGTCCCTGGCCTCACAGAACCAAGGGTCCCTGGCTGAGAAGGCTGTAGCTCCCTGCACCTTCTTCTCCTTCTTGTGTTTTCTGAGCTTCTTGCCAACTCTGGTCACCTCCTCGCCCTGCCCGGGGTCTGGGGAGGTCTTCACCCTTGAGCCAGGGGACACGGACTTTCTCTTCTTCTTCTTTTCCCTACCAAGGGACTCAGATGGACCAAGTGCCTGCTTCCTGGGGCTGGGAGATGGCTCAATCCGTCTGGCACGTAACATGGTCTCAGGTTCTAGGGGCTCCTCGCAGACGGTGCTGTGACCCTTCTTTTTCTTCTTTTTCTTCATTAGAGGCATTTCGGTTGCCTGCTCTTGGACCATATTCTTCAAGGGTGATGTGGTTCTTGTGGGACAAACCTCCGCAAAATAACTGTCACTGTTTAAAACCGAGTATTGAGTCTCTGGTTCTTTAACTACCTTCTTCTTCTTCTTCTTCTTCTCTGGGAGCCCAAGGCCCAGGTCTCCTTTGTGAGTCTTAGTGATCATTCCTGAAAAAAGAAATGGTACAAGTTATCCCCATACCAAGCCACCCTGAGTACAATTCCACTAGGTATTACCAAAAGTCACGTTTCCTGGAGTGGATGGTCTGAAAGATTAGGGGCTAGGAAAATGGGCATGATTCCTGTGGAGCAAAGGGAAATATGATCGAAGAAACAGAATGGAGTTTAAATCCTGACAGCCCCGGGTTGAAATCCAAGCTGCTCCCTCACCTTAAGTCAATCACCTATCCTCGCTGGGCCTTAACTTCCCCAGCTGAAAATGGGGGGAGATAACACTTCCTTCCTCAAAGAGCTGTTGGAAAGAATAAACGATAATCCATGGAAAGTGCTTGGTACATCATTGATTCCCTTTCCTAACCCCCTTCCTCAAACCTCTTAAGCCTAGTCCTCTCTCCAGAAACGTACCCTGTGCCAGCCACTGAGGGCACAACTGCACTCAAGCCACAGGCCAGGCACGGCCCCCAGGGCTTACCTTTTACTGGATGAAGGGGACAGAAATCCTGAGGTCAGCTCCTCTTGCTGACTGTCACCAGAGGCAGTAACTGTGACACAATTAATCCATTCCCTTGCTTCATCTAAAGAGCGCTTCAGCTTTGCGTCTGGAAATTAACTGCCCCCGCCTGCACTGAGGGTGACTTACTCTTCTAATTACCTTCCCACGTGGCTAGTAATGAGAGCAGCAGCAAGGTATGGTGAGGAGCCCCAGCTGGGGCTGAGGATGCCTGCATTCAAATGGTGACTCACATACTCTTGCCACACAGCACTGGCTTCTCCGGGCCTGAGTTTTCCTATCCATAAAAGAGGCACTGAACCAGATCAGATCAGAGGCTAGTGGGGGGGGGGGGGGGGGGGGGGAGTGGGAGTGGGGCCACATCCAGCATACAAGCCTGTTTCACTGTTTTTAATTTTTCAAATAAACTGCCAACATTTAATGATTGGAGAAAACACAGAGCAACCTTGAACACTCAGCTTTTTTTTTTTTTTTTTCCTTTGGCAGGGCTAGGTGGGGGTCAAGGAGGCGCCTATGAGAAGGGGTTGGGTCCTCAAGTACATTTCAGCTTCCAGTTGTACTACGTCTCTCACACCAGTCACCAGCCCAGTTCCTGCTCCCTGGACTAGATGACATGGTGCCACTCAAGGAATCCAGAAACAAACGGCCTCTCACAAGAGCTTTGGACAGTGGGCAGGAAAGGCCAGGGAGCTTCTCCATCCTGCAGCTTTCTTCAGAGCCCAGAGGGTCCATACTGGACCTGCCTCTTAGCTGCTTCAAAATGCCAGGCTAGGCCAGAGCTGTAGCTCAAGTTCACTCATAATTGAAAGGAACACTCTCTTGCTCACTCCTGTCTGTCTGGTTTTCTGCTGTATTCCCAGGGCCCAGCTCTATACCTGGCACAGAGTGGGTGTTTAATAAATACTCACCGAACGAAGGAAGGAATGCTAGAGACACAGAGGTGAAAAAGAGATGACTCTGCCATCGAGAAGCAGGTAGGTGTGGGTGGGAAAGACGTGTGTTAACAATGATACAGGTGATAAAAGCAAGCACAGTGGTAAGGTCAGGGTAAGAGGTCGTCTAATCTGGCCTACCAGTTGTCAGGAAAGTTTCTGAAGGACAGAGGTTTCCAGCTTGGCAAGTGCAGGATGCCGGTGCTAGTCCCTAAGACAAAGAAACTGAGGTGGGGTGGTAGCGGGGGAGGCGAGGGCTGAAGGAGACAGGCTGGTTGGAACAGATGCCTTGAGATAGCCATGTGGAGATGTTGGTGGACAGGTGGATGAGGCTCAGAGGTGACTGGGCTGACATAGGTGACGTAAATTTAGGAATATATGGATGGTAAGTAAGCCTTGAACAGAACGAGCCTGAGACAGAACCTTAAGGAATACTAACGTTTAAATGGGTGGGCTGAGGAAGAGGGGCCTGCAAAGGAGAGGGAGAAGGTACAGACGTGGAGAGGGTGGAGTCAAGGGCGCCAAGGGTGCCTCAAATGGAGGAGTGGTCTAGAGATCGAATAAGAACAAAGAAGCCAAGGGGAGGCTGTCCCCAACTTAATCCCCTTCTCTCCCCATCTCCGCCGTTCAAATCACTGTAGCATCCTCCTCTTTAGCACTGAAGATCCTTCTCTTCAAACCTGAGACCCTAAATGTATTCATTCCTTCAAGGAAAAGGGAAGAGGAAATGAACCTTACAGCTTCTCCTGCGAACGCAAATGCTTTCTCCAAAAGCGCTTTTTAAAGTCTCGCGGTAGCCTCGTGAGGCTCGGTGTGAGTAACCCATATCAGAGACGTGAAAACTGAGACGTGGAGGCTTTTAATTTACTTGCCCTGTGTCCCAAAGCCAGCAAGGGGTAAAACAGGGATTCGAAACCAGCCCGCATAACTTCAGAGCCTGTGCTCTCCGCATAATGGCACCAACACCCCACTCCCACCGCAGGCTCACTAGCAGGAAGCAAGAGAGCCGGGAGGCGAAACTGCCTCCTCAAAGGCTCTACCACGCCAAAGCTTCCGCACCAACACAGAAGGAGGGATTACGCCGGGTCCCGGGCCCAGCTCCAAGGCGGTAGAACTTGCTGGAGACTGCGGCCTCAGGCCGGGGCGAGCGCACACCAGCGACCGGGGGGGACTTGAATCTGAGGGTGCGGGTCGCCCTCCAGTCCCTCGGTTCTCCGCGCAAGTCCCCAGGCCCAGTCTCCAGCCCCAACTCCGTCCTGCCTGGTAGGCGCCCTCCTCACTCACCCGAAGGCCAAACTTCCCCGCCTCCACGTGAGAGCCGACTCCGCCGTGACCCGGAAGTCAATCTCGACTCGCTGGCCCGCCCTCGCAAGATGCGTTTACTTCCGGGTCGAGGCCTAGCGGGGAGCGCGGTTGCCGTGGAAACCGCAGCCATGGCGGCCCCGGGGCGGGTGTGCAGCGTCTCTCAGCGCTTGGAACGGGCGCTTTCAACTGAGTCGTTCATCACCGCCAGGACGCCAGGGCCCGTCGTGTCTCCCGTGTCCCTGGATCTGCGCGTCTCGCCGGGACAGGTTGCGGAGCTGCCCGGCAAGAACCTGTGGGAGCAGATCTGCGAAGGTAGGCAGCCCGGGCCGGCCGAGAGGGGCGGGTCTCGGGCGGCCAGGTGGGACCGGCGCTTCCTGGGCGCCTAAGGTGCGTCGGGCGGCTGACGCGCGAGGCCTCCTGGCATACTCGCCGCGGCCCGCAGGGCTCCCCATGTTACGTAGGGGAAACAGAGGCTCTGAGAGGCTTGCCTGAGGTTAGGCAGCGCAGCCTCCAGCCTGCATCCATAGTCAGGTCGAAGGCAGGGGAAGGCGGAATAAAGGGGACCAGCTGGTGTGGGCCAGTGGTGCCCAAATCTCATTTAGTGAACAGGAAAGAATCGCTGGGACGGAGATGGGGAGCTTGTTTAAAACATAGGTTTCAGGCCCCGCCCACAGGGCTCCTAATGGGGTGTAGGGGATCTGCACTTTGAAGGAGCACCCCAGGTAATTTTGATGTAGATAATCTGTGGCCCACGCGTTGAGCAAGCCTGGTCTAGACAGATTTGGCTTTAATCCTCTTCTTCTTAGCCTTCCTTAAAATTCGTAAGTGGAGTTTGTTTAGTTCACCTTCTTTTGTGGGCCTACATGTACCCTTGATCATGAGGTCCCGCAGTACTCTTCACATACGTTGGACAGGTTAGGCATACCTCCGAGATGTTGCAGGTTGTGTTTCAGACCACAGCAATAAAGCGACTCACAGGAATTTTTTGGTTTCCTAGTGCATATAAAAGTTATGTTTACACAATACTGCAGTCTATTAAGTGCACAATAGCATTATGTCTAAAAAACACTGTATATGCCTTAGCTTAAAAATACTCTATTGTTGGGGAATTCCTTGGCTGTCCAATGGTTAGGACTCCGTGCTTTCACTGCCCAGGGCCCTGAGGGCCTGGATTTAATCCCTAGTCGTGAAACTAAGATCCCACAAGGCCTGCAGTGTGGTCAAAAATAAATAAATAAATAAATAAATAAGAATACTTTATTGCTAAAAAATGCTAACCATCATCTGAGCATTCAGTGGGTTGTAGTCTTTTTGCAATACTAATGTCAAACAGCACAGTTCACCATGACAAATGTAATAATAATGGAAAAGTTTGAAATATTTTGAGAATGTCCAAAATGTGACACAGACACAAAATGAGCAAATGCTGTTGGGAAAATGGCACTAATAGACTTGCTTGATGCGGGGTTGCCACAAACCCTTCAATCTGTAAAAAACTCAGTACGTTCTAAGTGCAATACAGTGACGCACAATAAAACAAGGTATACCTGTATTTTACTTATCCTCGGTAAAGTGAGCATAATAATGGCACCTATTTTAAGGTGTTAGGAGGATGCAGCTAAAGGGGCACTTCAGAAAGGGCTTAGCAAAGTGCCCGATTTACACCAAGAGCTCAGTGTATATTGCTCTTAATAATGCTGGGTGTTTTTTTTCCTCGCTAAGATTGTAAACTCCTTGAGGTCAGGAACTCAGATTTTTCATTCTTGTGGCTACCATCATTACTTCAACTGTCTGAAACAGCGCTGTCCAATAGAACTTTCAAATATGGTAGCCAATAGCCACACATGGGTATTGAGCACTTGAAATGTGATTAATGCAATTTTATAACTGAATTTTTTGTTTTACTTCTAATAAGTTCTAATAAACTTACACAGCTACATGTGGCTAGTGACCACTGTATTGGACAGTGCAGGTCAGTAAATGTTTGTTGAATGGAGGAGAGACTGAATGTACCAGTATATGGGACTAGGTAGAGTGAGAGAGAGCCATGAGTTGAGAGAAGTGGAAAATACAAAGGAAGAAGAGAATAATGGACTCAGAGTTGATAGATGCTCTGGAAGGCCATCTATTTCAACTCCTACCCAGTGCTTGAATTCCTTCTCCTGTATTGCATTATACCTAGAAAAACCTTTTTCATCTTGAATGTTCTCCTTGTAACTTCTACCCTTTGCTCCTTACCCTCCTGGTGCTATGATCCAAGTTGCTAGTCACTCTACCATTATGAAAACACCCAAATAGAAGGTTGTTATTGTGGCTGTATTTTCCCCAGAGCTTTCACTTCTCCAGGCCAAACAGCTCTTCATAATACAATTGACTAGTAGTGTTTTGTCGAGGAAGCTGTTCAACCTCATCTCTAAGAGGGGATAATCCTTGTACCTACCTCACAGGGCTGTTGTGAGGCTGGAATAAGATAATGTATGCAAAGGTGCTTGCACAGAGCCTGGCATTTAGAAAGTGCTCAATAAATGTTCGTTATTGTTGACAAAGAAACATGCTTTGCATTTGTTTTAGAATCATGGAGTTTATTTTTCTCAAACAGGCCTGTAGGGAGAAAGCAAAGACAAAGGGTTTTGTTGCTCTGAAAAGCAAGTGAATTGATGCCACTTACAAAGTGATAGAGTTACAAAATGAAGTTTATGAGGTCAGAGATGGTGAATTTATACACACAGGCACTGTAATGATTATTATAACCTGGATGATAGACCCAGTTTCTTAAAACAAACATTCTAACAAATGCAGTTTTCTATAACAAATGTAGTAAGTTCAGTTTCTCACAGAAACATGAAAAACAGGCTTTGTAATAATCCTGTGTTTGAGGTTAAGTATTATATTCTTTTAGGATATTTCCATTTAAAAAGCAAATTATCACAGCAAACAGACCTATCAGAAACTCAATTTCAGGAAAATGAGATACAGAATAGATATTATTAAGACCTTTATTCTGCCTGGCTAGTGCTCTATGTGTGTGTGTGTGTGTGTGTGTGTGTGTGTGTGTGCGCGCGCGCGCGCGCGCATGCATATGGTAACTTACTTGTGAATGTTCTTCAGTTTTCTCATCTTTCCAGTGATAACTAACCTAGGGCTTTTTATTCTCAAAAGCACCTGTATTAGTATCAATAAACGTCTTTCCTGCCAAGGCTTCTAATCAAGTCTTGTAGTTGCTTATGACAATGACTTTTAACTATGGTTTTAACCAGGACTGATTCAAAGTATTTGGAGCTTACAGTCTTTTATTCTGATATTGCTGCTGTTACTGCCATCGGCATCCTTATTATTGCCGTTGGTTCATCACTCCAAACACTAGTCTCTGGCCTCAGCGCTCAGTGCTGTTGTGAAATCAGGTCCCTTCTTCCCACCTGCCAGATAACAACATGGTCCAGTTCTGAATCAATGCTTGTTCCCCCAGCACAGCAGCTGAGCACAGCTGGAGAAAAGTGACACCAGGTGGCTCTCAGCAGTGCTTATTGGTCAACATCCATAAGTGCCTTCTCCCTAGTCCCTAGTTTTTACTCCACTCCTCTGACTTGGCGTGATACCACTTGGCAGATGGAGGAGGAGGAGGCATTCACTGAGAATAGTCAGGCGATCAAGAGTGGGGAGGGAATCCTCCAGCTTCCTGATACCAACAAACATATTTGCATCTGCTCATATGGAAGAAGTATTTATCCCACTACCCGCACAGCTCAGCCCTGCATCTGTGCTTTGGTGCCGTCCTCTCGCTATACCAGGATCCTGCTCTATCACTCACCTCTCCAACATCTTTAACTTCTCTACAGGCTTTTCCGTCTAAGCATCCTCTAGTCAGTCATCTTGGTGAAAACCTCTCCCTTGACCCCTGTCATCTAGCTCTTGTCTATCCCTCGTACCCTCTCTAGCCAAGCTTCTGGAAAGAATTCGTGTTCGCACCACTGTCATTCCCATTCCCTTATTAACCCATGAGCTCCTACTTCATGGCTTCAGTGAAATCATTCTCATGCATGAATCATCATATCTACCAGCGCGGCGAGTTATTTTAACTGCTAGACCAGGCATGACCCCAGGCACTGTTCTAAACACCAACAATTACTCTCCATCATAAACTCCACTGCCCAGTCCAGAAATCAAATTCGTCTTGCATGCTTCCCTTTCACTTTCCATGATTCCTACATTCATTCTCCAATCCCTGTAGATCCTACCGGCTCAACATCTCCTGTAACCCCCAACTCCTCAGCCCCTAGTTCTCATGGCCCTTACCACTCCCTGTTTGGATTGCTGCTGTAGCTTTTTAGTTGGGGAAGGCTTCCTTCCAGACTGTCTTCTACAGGAACCTCTCTCAAATTCAAATCTGATCACATCATGCCATGACCTACAATGATTTTTACAGCTTTCATGGTAAACATAAACTTCTTAGCTTAACACCTAAGCCCTTTAATGATTTGGTCTCTGTCTCTTTTTTTTAGATTCATCGCCTACCATTTGTCCAAATCATCCTAATGGCTAACATTTATTGAGCTGCCCTTTATGTGCCAGGCACTGTGCTAGGTGCTTGCTTTTCCCCTTGTTTAAACCTCTCAGTAACTTGGTGGTTTAAACAGATAAGGAAATTGAGGCATAGAGAGCTTCGGAAACTTGTCCAAAGTAAGTGGTAGAACCGGACTGCAACTCGTGTGTGGCACTCAAGTTCAAGCCCTTAAGCGACATAGCAGTGTGCCTAAAGTGTAGACCTGGAGCTCCCTCATCACGACATCCCAGATACTTGCTGAAGCGCAGATTCCTGTGGTGTGATGATTCACCCCACTCCTTGGGGGTGAGTCCCTAAGCTCTGCAGTTTAAATACACTCTCTAGGCAAGGGACAAGGCATAGTATCACTGTCCTGTGCTGTGTACCTTTAACCATAAGAAACTATTCCTCCAGCACACCACACTGTTCCATTCCTCCGCACCTTTGCACAAGCTTTGCCTCTTACTGGAACATCTCTGCCTTCTCAGAAGTGGCCCCTCTTCTCAGAAGTGGCCCCTCTTCTGGAAGGCCTTCTGTTATTCTTCACGCTGATTTTGAAGCCCCTCCTTGGTGCTTCCTGAGTGCAGCCCTCTACGGCATCACTTCACATCTTATAACCACTGGCTCTTACTGTCCATCCCCTCACCAGGACACAAGCTCTTCTGCCTTCTTCATCTGTCCCCCCAGCACCTTGTACATCCCCTTGCCGTAGTATATGCTGGCTAAGTGTTCGTTAGATTCACTTCCAGCCTCCATCTTCCTGGTTCATCCCTTTCCAATAGGCCACTGTTGGTGAACACTGCATTTTAATTGCTGTTTCATTTAGGAACATGTTCAGCTGCAAATCACAGAAAACCCAACTAATAGTGGCCTGAGCAATAAAGACATTTCATCACCTCACGTGCCTGGAGCATGGCGGCGGGGAGGTTCCAATTTGAGCACAAGGGCTCTGTTCCCCCAACAGGGTTATAGGTTCTTTCTGCTCTGCCTCTTACATAATGTTGCCTTTGTTGTATAAAATGAACAACTACGTTTACTTGTTCTTAGATTAATGTTCGTTTAAAATGCATATAACATTAAATTCCCCTAACCAATTACAGGTTCTCCCTGCTACCCAAAAGTAGAGAGTTCCTGTGAAAACTTTCGTAAGCCAAAATGGCATAAAGCAAAGAAGTGATTACCTTAGGACACATCTTGCTAAAGGATGCACAGAATAAATCGAGAAAAAGTACAGATGTTCACAGACAGTTCAAAACTGTGGTGGCGTGATGCTGAGATGCTGAGTGTAGTTCCAGGGGAAGGAGCTTGGCAGTGCCACTCCACTGCTCGGAATACACACTTCCTCCGTAACAGTTCGCTGCAAAAAAACCGCTGATCGCTCTTTTCACTGTTCACCTTTTCTGTTAAAGCAAAAATGCCCTTTGGATTTCTCTTGGTTAGCGAAAACAGGTACTATTGTAGGTCTTTTGTAAAAGTGAAGTGCGTAAAGCAAACTTTCAAAAAGTGGGGGACACCTGGAATCCAGTTTACAAGCTTAGGTAACGAAAAGATTGTAAACATTTGGAAATTTAATATACCTGATTTTCTTAAGAATTTCTAGTGCCAAACCAGCAAATTTTTCTTCAGTACTCTTTACAAACTTTATTAAATTCATGCAAAATTATATGGCTTTCAATGTAAAAAGCATCAGTCTGTAATCAATTATATGTTTTAAATTGAAATCGCAAGGTGACAGTGACAAATTCTCAAATATGCCAGATTCTCTTAAATCTTACAGAGGCTTGAAATAAAAAACACATCAGATTGTCCTGAGGCAAATGTATTTTCCCATACTTCTACATAATCATATAACTGTATATCTTTTGTGGTTGTAGGATGAAAAAGTTTGTATATTTTCCATCAAATTTCTCATTGGGAAAAATATAAATGGCAAATAAATCATAATTAAAGAAATATAAATAAAAGTAAAGTATCATTTTAAATATGTATGAGATCAGTTATACCCTAGAGAAACAGGCAGACTTACTATTAGGAGTGTGAATTATTATAAATCTTTTGGAGGAAAATTTGGCAATTTGGCCCAAATTTTAAATTATTTTTTTCTTTGAAAGAACAATTCCACATCTAAGAGTTAATCCTACAAAAGTACCTCCTTTCTGATCAATGATGTGTGTATAAATATGCTTACAACAGCATTGTTTGTAATAGTGAAAAATTGGAAGCAACCTAAAAGCCCACTAAGAGTACACTGGTTAAATAAATGAAGCACATCATATAGTAGCAGCATTGAACGAGCTCCATGATTCAGCACCTAGAATGGATTCTGGCACATAGTGGACTCTCAATAAATATGGATGAATTAATTGATAAAGAGTCAAAAGTAACTTGCTGTAGTGTTTGTTTTGTTCATTCATTCATTACTTCATTCATTCAGCTTCTGACTTCCCTAGCGGTCCAAGCGTGATTAAGACTCCACACTTCCAATGCAGGGGACGTGGGTTTGATCCCTGGTCGGGCAACTAAGATCCCACATGCTGTGCAGCCAAAAAATTTAAATTAAAAAAAAAAAAGTACATTCATTCAGCTTCATATTCTTTGGGAATGTGATGGTGAGCACAAACAGACCCAGGTACATCCACATCCCACCCCCTCCCAAAAAACACAGTCTTTTAGAAGAGATACTCATTACTTTTTACAAATTTCAAATAAGGGTAAGACTTAATATGAGTTATGCAGAATAAGGACACAGTGTTATCAAGTTCTATGCTTGGGTGATTTGAGCTAGTCTTGGAGATCTAAAGTGAATGAATGTATTTGTGAATTATATACAAATGTTAGTAAATGCATTGAAAAAGTTTTGGTTGAATCTATGCCAATTCCAGCAATGGTTATGGGTTGTAATGGGATTAGATATGACTTAGAGTCTACATAAGCCATCTCCGTATTATTTGGAATTTTTCTCATAATAAGCATGTATTGCTTTTGTAATCAAAGCTATAAATGTATATGTATCTTAAATCCAAACGAATAGTTTTCACACCGTGTTGGTGATTCTCAGTGTGTTGGGGGAAGAAGGTGAATTTACATTTTTGCTTGAGAGGAAAGAATAAAGTGGTAGAGCTAGAGTTGCTGTGGTGGGCAGAATTCTCAGATGGCCCCCAAGATTCCTGCCTCTAGTGCACATAGCTCCCAGTTATCCAATCAGAAACTAATTTAGGCACTGCTGTCAAAGGATTTTTCAGATGTAATTAAAGTGTGTAATCAGATAACTTTATTTTTTTTTTCTAATTGAATCTGTAGGTTTTTTTGTTTATTTGTTTTGTTTTTTGGCCACACTGCACAGCTTGTGGGATCTTAATTCCCCGACCAGGGATCAAACTCAGGACCCCAGCATTGGAAGCTCACAGTCCTAACCACTGGACTACCAGGGAATTCCCTCAATTGACTTTAAATTAAGAAGATTATTGTAGGTGGGCCTGACCTAATCAGGTGAGCCCTTAAATGAAGTCAGAGAGGTTCAAGCAGAAGAGACTACTGTTGCTTTGAAGTAGCAAATATCCAAGAGTGAGCTGCCTGGACCTGAGGGTGGCCAGCCTCTTGGTGCTGAGAGCAGTCCCCATAACAACCCAAAAGAAAATGTGGACTTCAGAGCTACATCCACAAGAAACTGAATCCCACCAACAATCAGTGAACTTGGAAGAGGACCCCAGCCGTCAGATGAGATCACAGCCATGGCCAACACGATTTCAGCCTGATGAGACCCTGACCCATACCCAGGCTCCTGACCCTTGGGAACTGTGAGATAATAAATTTGTGTTAAGTTGCTAAGTTTGTGATAACTTGTTACATAGCACTAGAAACCTATTCTAGCTAGTATTGGGAATCAAAATTGCTTAAAACCTGCATCCTGACATACTAGTCCCCAACCTGATACCTAGGAATTGAAAAAAAAGTTGAGAATTGCTCTACCACCTGATAAGGAACGAGGTAATGGAATAAAACTTGCCTCCAGTACAAATGCATCAACCCCATCTCACCCAGAAACTTTGTTTTCCCTCATCACTGCAAAGCAACTATGCAATTGCCTTTGAAACATTGACCTTTCCAGAAATATTTTTACCAGTCTTTCCCTTAGGGGTGTAACCAATATAGTCATGGGCATTTTCTTGCTGTCTCTCAGCAATAGTTGTTGTTACGCTGTAGAACTTACGTGGAATATTCTTTGCATTAAGCTCCCCAGCAGGTTGACAGTGATCAGTCTTGAAACCTGGCAATTGTTCTCCAACTCACTGCATGTTAGAATCAGCTGGAGGACTTAAAATATTGATTCCCAGCCTCTTGCCCCAAACCTACTGAATCAAAATTTCTGGGGTCGGGCCAAGATATTAGCATTTTCAAAAATCTCCCGGGTAATTGTAATGTACAGCCAAGATGGAAACTTACTGGAGCTTACAGTAGAACCTCTCCAATTTTAACTGCATGCAGGTTACCTGGGGGTCTCGTTAAAATGCAGATTCAGATTCAGCAGATCTGGGGTGGGGCTTGAGATGTTGCATTTCTAACTCCCCAGGGATGCCGATGCTGCTGGTCCCTGGGCAATGCTTTGACTAGCAAGGGTTTACGGGATTGCTTTTCCAGCCGTATACCCCAATCTGGCAGCCTTAACTTCACGCCCATCCCCACGTCTGCCTGAGATGGCTCATCTTGCCTCTGTCTCTTTTATTCTGCCCCCCTATACGTAACATTCTCCTCTTCTTTTTCTCCCCTCTCCTTCCTGTATGCTATTGGTGTCTTCCCTTAGCCACCCTCCTCATTTTCTTCCTCTTTTTATCCCTTGTAGTTGTAATTCGGTGGGCAAGATCTAAATCTACCTTCTTGGGAAGAGTCTCAAACTCTTACATAAAGCCTGGAGTCTTTCATGCAAGAGAAGAATCATCTCTTACCCATTTTAAATAAACACCCTGTAATGGCCAATTGTTTTTTCATTTTTGAAAACCACCAACCAAAATAAAATTTATTCAGAGGAAAGGGAATTATCCACAAGCTGTAATGAAGTATGGAATTGAGGGGTTTTTTTCCCCCCCACTCCCTTCAGAGTATGAAGCTGAGCTGCCTCCCTTTCCAGAAGGATATAAAGTCAAACAAGAAGCTGTGGTTACTGTGAGTATCACCCGGGCCCCAACCTAACTGAAAGGTTCTTACACGAAAACAGCACTGATGGCTGGTGAGCATCAGACACTGTCATGAATCAGGGAGGGGGAAAGGAAAGGCACTGGAACCAGAACCAGAACCAGAACCGGGGCCAGTCATACCTCTGCTGCTAATGATGTGACTTAAAGGGCATCACACAACCACTTTGAGCCTCAGTTTCTGCATCTGTTAAATGGAGCAGATAATCCTTGACTAACTCACAGGGCCTTTGTAGGGCTCAAATGAGATCCTAGATGAGGAAGGCCTTTGCAGTGGATTCAACATCACTGTTGACAGTTTTGCAGATGGAGCAGATTTCTTTTTGCATAGCTGGGTGGGCTAAGACTGTACTAAGGAAGGAGAGAGGGCCAAGGACAAGGCAGCCAGGAAGGGAGGCCCTAAGGCAGTATGCTTGGAGTAAAATAGGGACTTAACGGAGTTTAAAATAAAAAGGTAAGGCTTTGAGAAATGAAGGGACTTGAGCAGGGTCACAGGGATGAGACAAAAACCTAAGTCACTAGACTTCAATATGTCACTGCAGCTGCCTCCATTAGAGATTCTGTGTCTAAGATCTTCCTTGGCTTGTGATTGTTCCTTTTTCATAGCATCCTGTTCTTGCTTTATGAATGCAATGCTTTCTCAAATTTCTCTGCAGATACTAATTACAGTTCTCTCCCCTGAATTATTTTTGCTTCTTCAGGGTCAGTTGTTCTTTATAGATCTTGATCTTTGTCTTTTATGCTGTTGATGTTCTTCATCTATGTAGAAAGTTTTGATTATTTATTCAAAATTTAAAATGCAAGCGTGAGTGGATATTTCTACATAGTTGGTATAGTTTTCTTCTACTGTCATACACGTTGGTTTGTTTTCTGGATGGGTCTCTTCCATGAATAGAAACACTGACTGGGAGCTCATGGGGAGTGATTGTCCACTGGAGGACTTTTCTTCAGGGTCAGCAGACAGGGACTCCCTATTTTGGCACTGGGCTGGAAGCCTCCACATCAATGTTGAGGTTTTTTTTTTCTCTTGACTGCCAAAATGGCACCCTGAGTAGTTCTACTCCTTCCCAGGCTGTTTGTTTAATTTGTTTACAGAAGATTCATTGGAAAGGAGGGAGAGCAGGATATAAAAGGCTGCTGTGAATGCCAAAGGGGGCAGAAGCAGGAGGAGGGAGGATGGGGCAGCAGGCCACGGGGTCTCCAGCCAGATTTTCACTTAACCTCTCCTGTGTATTGTTTCCTTTCTCATTCCCACACTGTGAGGAACTGAACCTCTGAAGCCCTTTGGAATTCTGGTGGGAACGTGGACTCTCGTCTTCTGGGGGCAGTTTCCTCCTGTGGATTCTGACCTGCCACTCCTCCTCTCATCTGACCACAGGCTTTATTCTGTTTCTTTTGTAAATTTATTCATTTATTTATTTTTGGCTGCATTGGGTCTTCATTGCTGTGCCCAGGCTTTCTCTAGTTGTGGCGAGCGGTGTCTACTCTTTGCTGTGGTGCGCGGGCTTCTCATTGCGGTGGCTTCTCTTGTTGCGGAGGACGGGCTCTAGGCATGCGGGCTTCAGTAGTTGTGGCACACGGGCTCAGTAGTTGTGGCACGTGGGCTCAGTAGTTGTGGCTGGCGGGCTCTAGAGCACAGGCTCAGTAGTTGTGGCGCACGGACTTAGTTGATCCGTGGCATGTGGGATCTTCCTGGACCAGGGCTCGAACCCATGTCCCCTGCATTGGCAGGCAGATTCTTAACCACTGCGCCACCAGGGAAGCCCTATTCTGTTTCTTTTGGAAATGTCTGGAGATCTCTCATCCATTGACAGCCCTCCCAGTCTTTGTTACGGGTTTATTTCTTGGTTGTCCTTTATAGGTGTCTTGGGAGAGAAGAGAAAGATTTGTGCTCAGTATGCCCCCTTGAACCTAAATTCTGACACAGACTTTTATTTTTGTTATATTATAAAAGAAAATACAATGATTTAAACTACATGAATTGATTTCCCTCCCCACCGCCACCCCAGGCATCACCATCAGAGGCAAGGGTTTTCTGCGGCTTCAACACGGAACACCTTTACCCAGCTGCTCCTTTAGCCGTGGTCCCACAAGTGTCCTGTCCTCAAGCTAAACGGGAAACAATCGACCCAGAAACATGTACGTAAGGAAGTGCGATCTCAGCTCTATAGTTCAGGAGTTGTGACATTGCAAAACCATGGGGTGGGGACAGGGTGGACAGATAGACCTCAGGGAGACCACATAATAAGAATGTGTTCTTGTTTAATTTTTATTTTTTTATTTTTTTATTTTTGTGGTACGTGGGCCTCTCACTGTTGTGGCCTCTCCCATTGCGGAGCACAGGCTCCGGACGCGCAGGCTCAGCGGCCATGGCTCACGGGCCCAGCCACTCCGCGGCATGTGGGATATTCCCGGACCGGAGCACGAACCCGCGTCCCCTGCATCGGCAGGCGGACTCCCAACCACTGCGCCACCAGGGAAGCCCTAATTTTTATTTTTAAGAGATAGCCTTTATTCCACTGATGTATCTTTTTTTTTTTAATTTTATTTTATTTATTTTTTTATACAGCAGGTTCCTATTAGTTATCTACTTTATACATACTAGTGTATATATGTCAATCCCAGTCTCCCACTTCATCCCACCCGCCCTCCTGCTTTCCCCCCTCGGGGTCCACTGATGTATCTTTAAGGTTGAAAAGGAAGAAAGACACTTAAGTTCTTAAGTACTTAAGTTCTACATTACATACAAAGGGGGAAAATGTAAAGAGTAAAAGAAAGTATCATGCTGTCTTGCTTTGTGTGTGGAAGCCAGAGATGCAGGCGTCCTCATCTTCCTCCCCGAGTCCCTGTTCCTCGCCCTCCCTGGTGCCAGGCCCTCTCCCCCGCTGGTTTGTTCTGCTCCCTCCGCTAGTGGGCTTTGGGCTTTGGGCTTTGGTAACCACTATTACTGTGCCCTTAGGTCCTTGTACCCCCGCCCGGTTCCCCTCTGACCTCAGTTCCTACCAACACTCCCTTTGCGTATTTCCCTCCAGCTACACCAGCCTCCTGGCTGTGCCTGTGGCCCTGGCCCCATGGACCCCGGTCTACAGCCCCACCAGAGTACAGAAGCTCAGAGGGATATTTTAAGTTTCGTCGGTAATCAGCCCAACTCAGCAGTCTAGAGTAAAATATAACATTTATGGTCATGTTGATTAATGGAGAATACCTTTTTTTGTTCAGAAGCAAATGTTTCTCCCAAATTAACTTGAGCCATTTTGGATTTTTGGTGGGAATTTTTTGTTTGTTTTAGGTTCCCCCAAAGAATATTTGGAAACATTCATCTTTCCAGTTCTGCTTCCCGGAATGGCTAGCCTGCTTCACCAAGCAAAGAAAGAAAAATGTTTTGAGGTCAGTTGTTTTGTTTCTTTATTTCTAAATGCTCGATAATGCATTTTTATCAGGTGGTAGCTCATTATCTTAGTACCGTCAAGTGGCTGTTTTCAAAATGATCCCTTTGGGAGGGAAAGCCTTGTTTCAGTCACTTATCCAACTCCGGCTGGGACATCTAGTTGTGCACACACACGCACTGCCATCTGTCTGTCCGCCTGGCTCTGGGGAGGTTTTCTGCCTCGCTTGGCCTCCCTGCCTGCCCTTCTCCTGGGCAATTGGCATCTGCCAGGTTTCTTGGGTCTTCCTGCTCCCGTTATGACATGCGCAGATTATAGCTCTCCTGCCCTCTTATCCAGCTCCGGATTGACCATCCCACCTCGGGGCTCCCCCTACTCCACTTCATGCCAAATGCCACGAATGTACTTGCTTTAGGAGAGGCCTGGCCCATGGTGAGTGCTCGGTGACTGGTCATTATCATACTGCAGCTAGTTATCTGTATGAATCGAGTTCCAGTCCTGGCACACCGCCATGTAAATACCCCAGAGGCTCCCTCTTTTCTGCAGTTGGCAGTATACATCGGGTGTGTGTCTTCCCTGCACAGTACTAGAATTTTGGATGACCTATACGCAGAGAGTAAAATAGCAACAGCATTTCACGTTGACCAAGTGCTTGCTCTGCTGGGTGCTTTGCTTAGGGCTTTATCATCACTCCCAACAGTTCTGTGAGGTTCCTCTTGATTCATATTGTCTGCATTTTGCAGATGAGAAAACGGACGAAGGGATAGATTCAGAAAGGTGATCAAGGGTGAATGGCAGAGCTAGGATTCAAATCCAAATTAAATGATTCAAAATGATATTTTTAAAAGTTGGCTGTAACTACAGTGCAAACCCCAATTTGTTTGACCCACGTCTTTAAAGCATTCACAGATAATGGTGTCACCTGCTTGGTTGCCCTTCAGCACAGGATCTCTCTGTGAGAATAGGATACTGTCCTGATGCTTTTATATACCGAAGAGACAACGTTTTCACCTGCTCTAGCAAACACTCAACTTTCCTTTCGCGCTGCCTTGACGTTATACTGACCCTCCTGTCTCTTAGTCACCCCACTTTATACCTCCCCCTAATTCACTGCCACTGGTCCATTCAGCATAACATTCCTTCTGACAGGCCTCACCGTGACAGTTGTGTCTTTAGTAGAAGCAGAAACGAATTATGAGACGTTGATCTGAAACCAGGCAGCACGCTTGTGAAGGAGGTGTTTAGGGTACGCTGCTGGGCCACGGTACACTGTTTGAGAACCGTGGATCCACATAAGGAGTCCAAGACCCCTCAGCCTGGCTTTCACGGCCCTCTGCAGTCTTTTCCCTCCTTCCTTAGAAGGACATCTCTCTCTGTTCTCCTTCCTGGGTGATACCCTCCAGCAGATAGAACCACTTGGAGGTCCCTGTACCTGCCCCACACTTCACGGCTTCTGTGCATATGTTCCTTCATTTTTTTTTTTTTTTTTTGAGAAAAAAATCCTTGAGTTCTTCTTCTCTGCATATTTAAGTTCTATTTGTTTTTTCAAACTCAGCTCTGTGGCTTCTCTTTCAGGCCTACTGTTCCCAAACTGGAAGCAATTGAACCCAGCCCTCAGATTTCAGAGTATTTCATCTATTCCTCTTCTAGTGGAAAATTAAGACATCCTTGACCCACAAATACACTTCATTTTATACATGTCTGTCTCCCCCAGTATTTTCAGTTCCTTGAGGACAGATTCTCTGATTTATTTTTGTATCTCTATTCAGTGCCTAGTATATCCTACCCAGTACCTAGCCCCTGGTGAATACATAGTTGGCCCTCAATAAATGAGTGCACAGTTGGACGTCAGGGGAGCACCTCTACTACTATGTCCTTGACCAAAACCCAGCTTTCTTCTATCTGGGAAGGCTGTTCTCTTGGGCTCATCCCTGGAGGGACGCCATGAAGGGGGGTGAGAGAAGACATCCATATATTTCGTGAGTTAGTCAATGTAAGAGAGCAGTGGGTGGCAAATTCCACTGCCTAACCCTCCTTATATATTAATTATGCAATTAACTAGTAAATTGGCTTGGTTTATGGCATATTGATTAAGAACACATCTCTGGATGTGTTCTCAGGGTTACCTGGTTTTGACATCTCCCTCCACCCCAGCTGGCTGTACAGCCTTGGGCAAGTTATCTCATCTTTCTGAGCCACCATCTGTTCCTTATGTGTAAAATGAAGATGATCATAGCACCTGCTCATGGTGTGACTGAACCAGGGACTGAACCAGGGTCATTTGCCTGATGCACAGCAAGCCAAATACTAAGACACTGAGGTTTGCAGCAGAGAAGGGGTTTATTCACCAGGCAGCCAAGTGAGGAGATGGGATAACAAGTCTCAGGTCCACATTCCCGAAGGCAAGGGGCTTGGGATATTTATGGGTGAAGAGTATACCGTCAGAGGTCCAGGGGAAGGTGATTGGAGGCAGGAAAAGGGTGAGGTAATCACTGCTCTGCACAAGTATATCTGAATTACATGCTTCTTTCTTCATGGGATACATGTTCAGAAAATAGAGGTGCTAGCATGATCTGAGGGTGGAGTTTTTGGCTCTCTGACGTCACAAGGTCATTCATGGGACAACTGTGTAGGCCCAGTTTTAGGGTCGGTGGTCCCAACCAGTTTTAGCCTGCTTGAACTGGACAAGAGCTGACTCCAAGTTTCTGAAAAACAGCTTAAGCCACCGTTACTATAGCAACCCATACGTCAGAGGTGTTATCTATAGGAGGCGGTTACGGAGTCTTGTGATGTATTATCTAGGCTACATGAAGCTTGGAGGGTATGCAATTTGCAAAAATAATTAAGGCATCCTTGATCAGTGAAAGCAGGTTATAAGCACAGGGGCTTTTAACAAGCAGTTCCCTTATCTGCTCAAGACAAGCTCAAGAATTTCTGTTAGCCACCAGTTTCGGTTAACCCTATGGGGCACAGTTTGAATGGGATTATCATGCTGATGAAATGAGGTGGCCCATACAAAGTACTTAGGGCAGTCCCTGGAATGTAGGAAGAACTCAGTAAATGTTAACTTATTATTTTTTGTTGTTGTTGTTAACTTATTATTGATCATTAGTATTACTGGGCTGCAGGTTCTCCCCAGGTAGGGTGGGTTACACCCATTACCTGAGTGGGCTTGCTCTTGTTCCTTGGCTACCCAGAGGCCTTATTCAGCACTTGGTCCCAGCTCCCCCCCAAGCACCTGATTACACAAGGACTTCATGAAGAAGGTTTATTTTGCTGATACTTTTATAGGGAGGTGGGAAGAGGGGTTTGTTGGCATCTATCAAGCAATACTTCATTAATCCTGTCTAGAACCACATCTGTCCTCTCCAGGCGCCTCCTCCCACACAGCCTCTCCAGACCCCTTTTGGGTCCTGAACAATTCAGCTCTGGCTCTCAGCCTGCATAGCCCACTCAGCAAAGAAAAGTGCAGCATTCAGCTTACCCTTCCTTCCTCAAAATGCAATTCAACCGCTATTCATAGCTTTTGGTGGGTGGGAGTGGTGGTAGGGGGCTTCACACCTCTCACCCCAACAGAGACAGAATTGCAAGGTTTTCTTCATATTTCTCTGGCAGAAATTCTTAGTTTTGAGACACAGGCCTGGTGAATTCAAATCTGGGAAACCTTAATCCTGCTATATTCTCCTGACATTCTGGTACAGACCAGTTGTCCAGATTGAACCAGAAAAAAACACAATGATCAGATCCCCATTTTCATTAACATGAGAAGCTGCTCTGCTGAAGGGGACTATAAACAGAAAAAGCTGGTAAAATGAATGCCAGCAATTCAGGTACTGACTGTCCATCCAGGTCATGGTGGTCCCCTCACTTGTGGTTTGACTGCTGCTATCATAATAGTGATCGTATTAATGGTCAGAGAAGCTATCTCACTGGTTAGTTGTCTACTGTGTGTCATCACTGGTCAAATTGCTTTATACACATCATCACATTTTACCCTTACAATCAACCTCTAAGCCAGATCCCCTTTTCCATCAACTGCTTTTTACAGAGGAGGTCCCTGGAACTCAGAGAAGTCGAGCATTACCTAAGATCACCCAGCTAGTGAGCAATGGAGCAGGTCTTCAGCCAAGGTCCAGATGCTCCGAGAGCCTGTGCTTTCATCCCTCTCAAAAAATGGGGCTTGGAGGCTGTCCTCTAAATAGCTCCAGGAAATACAAATTTTTTTAATTTGTGGTTCTTTTCTGGAGAACAGATTGCTACTTGCCTTAAGTTATAAAATCTAAACTGCTTCTATTCTTGTGTATTTTTCATTTGCTTGTTTGGCTTCCCCTGACGACGTAATTCTTGTCCCCCATTTGTAACTGAGCTTCCCCTCCTCTGTGTGGTGTTAAACAGGGCAAGGCGTGGCCATATGGAATGGTAGTGAGGCTGGGGACCAGAGAGCAGAGCCCTTGGCCTGACCCTGTATGTGTCAGATGGCCTTGCCCCTCTGGCTTCAGGTCCTGCTGCTAAATGAGAGAGACCAGACAATCCTGCAAGTCATATTTCAAGGATCTTTGTTTTTAATCCTGCTGTTGGCCAAAGTATATTCAGCGTACCCTGCCTTTTATTAGCTTGATCAAAGGATGGAACGCAGTGATTAAACAATGAAATGAGCACAATGGAATAACCTTTGTTTGGATATGTGTGAGAATATCTGCAAACATATTAAGCCACCCAAGTTCAGTTCCTTTCAACAAACATTTATTAAGCCCTACTATGTGCTGATCATGGGGCCAGGCCCTGGACACCCAGAGAGGACAAGTCTGGCCCTGTCCTCAAGGAAACCACAGATGAGTAGCAAAGCCCTCGGTAGCTGAAGGATAAAGGTAGCTTTTATTTTCTTCCCCTTTGTTCTCTTTTGCTCCTCCAAAAGAAGAATGAATATGGAGAAACAGCGAGTGTGGATCTGGTGCTAGACATTCACTTCTAGACCTTAAGGCAGTTATATTCACTTGTGCA